ATATAACACTTGATAAAAGATAACGAATGAAACCGATTGGCATTTAATTCGAGGCAACATTGCTTATCGTTAAAAACATGGAACGCCACCCAGCCAATTTGCAATTGGTAACAAAATTAGAACAATGATAAATAAACTCAACTTCGTACCACGAATAATCGATTCGTTATTAATACCAATTAAACTCCCGTATACACCGCTGTTATAAATTCATAAACGAAACAATCATTGTAGACAATTTAATCCTTAATCGTTTAATCCCATCCGTGCGCAATAAATATATATACAACTACGATAGTAAAAATAACTCGCAAAAATAATAATAGAAAAAAGAAAAAAAGAAATCTCGATTCGAAAATCATCGCATAATTTCTATTAGTCTGTCTCTCTCATTGAAGAGAGATTCGACTCGTTGTTCGATCGCGTGAAACGTGTTGGCGTTTATTGCCCCGCCGGTACATCTTTATTCGCGTTTTTTTTTCGGTGTCATCGCAATTTCGCGCCGGCCAATTACAGAATTGGATTACGTCCGGCTCATTAATCTAAGCATCGAGGGGGGGGAGACAGAGGCGGGGCGCCACAATCGGAGGATAAATGAATATTCGAACGAGTACCGATCGATACCACGTTGCCCAGATATAAAGATTGATTTACGATACACCCGCAAATCTGTTGCTCGTCGAATCGAGAGAAGGAGGGAGGGAAAGGAGGAAGAGAAAAAAAGTTTTAATTGGCCACGCGATGTATTAAATAATTCTGTCCGTATCGACAGTGGATAAAACTCTCACGTGCCGGAAATTGTTCGTAACGTGATACCTTTCGTCCATGTATGCACGTTTATTTTTCCATACCCCCCTTGAATAAACGTTTTTCAGCCGCGTGATTTATTTAATTACCTTGTAAAATCTTGTAAAACGGTTTGTAAAATGATTTAAGCGCGACGCGTAATGCGTTATTTTACGCGTGGTTTTTAATTAATTATTTCGTTGGATGTTGGAAATTTGACGAATCTTTTGGCCGGAATTGAAATTTGCTTTCTTCAACTTGGTCGATGGAAGATACGCAAAAATCTTGTCGGTTTCTTTTTTGTTTTTTTTTTTTTGGCAATAACGTCAGTTTTAATAAGGTTTTAATAAGTAAGTTGATAGTTCAGACTGTAGTAGTACTTGTCTGATGAAACACACTATTCTTAAATTCTTATTCTCACTTTTATTTTTATTCGTCGTTTATTATAATAATAATTTCAAAGCGGATTTTAACGTTTGTTAAATTTCCATCCAGTTTTTTTAAATAGTGGAAAATAAATGTCTTGATAAATATATATATATATATATATGTACTGGAAATTTATTTATCAAGATACATCTTCCTTCAGATTAAAAACAAATTTTGATATCAAATTCAAATTGCTTCCTTATTAATCTTTTTATAATAGATATATATATATATATGTTTTAATGTAAATTTACAAGAGATTCCAGTCAGTTATTACAATTCATAAATATTACCTTTCATTGTAAATTTTTTCATTCAAAGAGAAAGTTTTCTCACAATCATTGAAAATTTAAGCATCGATCTTTCCCCCTCGATCCATACAAAGCGTATATTGTTACGTACACAATAAAATAGCAGATTTCACGCAATCGCACACATGGATAGTCCTGTAATACGGTCGAAGGTTCGGTTAAATTTATGATATTTTATTGGTAAGAGGCAACGATATAGTTTATTCCGGAGGCTGACAGTTCAGAAAATGTATTTCCCTCCCACCAGGGAATCAAAGGCCTCTCTCGCTTTATTCCTTCGCAAACCTACAGGTCCCGCGGGTGCACGAGAGAAACTGCAGATTTGTTTTCGTGTTATGCACGCCGTGGACTTCGTTGGGTTAAGGGTTTACTACATAAGGTATCCCAATATACGCGCAACCATCGTAGAGTTACACCGTACTACGGTTCAATTTTGATCTTAATCAAGTTCGCCCTTTTCGAACTCTCAGCTTTCTAACTTGATCAACCTACATGGCTTTGACAATTTCATCACGTTCTTGCGGATCTCATGCATGACACTCAACCGCACCATTTTATTATTCCCTCGTGTCGACGAGATGTTAAAATTTATAATATATAACTTCAACACCAGTTCTGAAGAGAGCACGGTTAAAAATTTAAAAATGGAAATTCTTCTAAATTTCATTGTAAATTTTTTCATTCAAAGAGAAAGTTTTCTCACAATCATTGAAAATTTAAGCATCGATCTTTCCCCCTCGATCCATACAAAGCGTATATTGTTACGTACACAATAAAATAGCAGATTTCACGCAATCGCACACATGGATAGTCCTGTAATACGGTCGAAGGTTCGGTTAAATTTATGATATTTTATTGGTAAGAGGCAACGATATAGTTTATTCCGGAGGCTGACAGTTCAGAAAATGTATTTCCCTCCCACCAGGGAATCAAAGGCCTCTCTCGCTTTATTCCTTCGCAAACCTACAGGTCCCGCGGGTGCACGAGAGAAACTGCAGATTTGTTTTCGTGTTATGCACGCCGTGGACTTCGTTGGGTTAAGGGTTTACTACATAAGGTATCCCAATATACGCGCAACCATCGTAGAGTTACACCGTACTACGGTTCAATTTTGATCTTAATCAAGTTCGCCCTTTTCGAACTCTCAGCTTTCTAACTTGATCAACCTACATGGCTTTGACAATTTCATCACGTTCTTGCGGATCTCATGCATGACACTCAACCGCACCATTTTATTATTCCCTCGTGTCGACGAGATGTTAAAATTTATAATATATAACTTCAACACCAGTTCTGAAGAGAGCACGGTTAAAAATTTAAAAATGGAAATTCTTCTAAATACTTTCCTCGGCTTGAAGCGAATGTATAATTAAACATGTAACAATTTCAAAAAAAGAAAAGTTACAGGATATATTTCTCTTCACCACACACACCTGAACCTCCTTATCCCCCAACATATCTTAAACCTATCTTAAATTCGTTCCTTCCAACGAAACGAGATATCTCTCAAGACGTATGCAGCTGGTCCACTTTCCTCTACTTATCTTCGAAATATATGCAGATGAGCCCTCTCTGATACACGGCGAGCAAGCAGCCCTTTGTGCCCTCCCTCTGAAATGCACGAACGAGGGAGGCAAGCCTTCCGGTCAAAAGAACCGGTCGAGTCCGAGTCCTTGGATGGCTGTTACAACGTAAGCAGCTCATGGAAAGCTGCTTACGATATTTGGAACGAAAGATGAGCGAGTTTATTCCCCTCCTTCTCCTCCCCCCCCCTCCCTTTCTAAATGACAGGACCACGCCGGCATTTTCATTATCATAAGTTACGCGGGGCCTCTCCTCTCCTCTCCAACCCAGCAGAGAGGCTAATGCTCCTCCTCCCCTCCCCTCACAAAAGGACAAACACCGCGAAAATACCTCGTAAGGCGATTGCCAGCAGGGCGAAATACATCGACTTCTCTTCAGCTTGGCTACTATCTGTCTGCTGTGGGCGCAGCAATTGTGCAAATTGTGGGACGAATATGATCCGAGTAGGCAAAGAGTTGGCTCGTTGTGTAGTGTGACACAGTTTCGTCTTATATTTAAAATTCAAGGAGATAGAGAGAGAGAGAGGGTGTTGTTTGCGGTTGAAAAGGTGGTCGAAGATTGGAAATTTAGATTAGTTTTCATTTGTTTCTTCTTTTCCCCTCCCTTTTCTTTGAGATAAGCGACTCTGGATTGTTAAATTTATGTATAAAGATGGAAAGAGCGTGAAACGAAGCGGATGTACGTTCGATTTGTTTTTAACATTTATGGAAAAGAATCATCGGTATGTGAATCGATTTTTAATATTTATTGCATCGTGATTTTCTTTTTTTTTTTTTTTTTGATAAATATTCATCGTTCGAATTGAGAGTAATATGATTATCGAGCGATTTTTGTGTGTGTATATATATATATACTTTTAATTCTCGATAAATTATTTCGGTCGGTTTCACAGTTATTGTTACATATATTTTCTCTCTGATTACATCGTATACAAAACGTTGACATAATATCGATATCATGGTAAGGTAACGAAACAAGCACACTTAGTTTCAAATAATGGAACATTTGAATGGATGGTAGAATGTTTGAACAGTAGAACTGGATAATATGTTTCGATGCTGAATATTCTACTTTATCTGTATTTACGATAACGTCGAACCAAAACCATAGAAGCAATTAAGGTTAAAATACGATAATACAATAACAATTTATCTTTCTTTTTACTTTTCTTTTTCTCGCTGATTTTTGTCATTACCTCCTTTTCCTTTTATCAGTTTTAAATTACTATCATAAAAAAAAAAACGGACAGTTTGCTTGAAATACCAGTAGAAAGATAGTGAAACAGAAGGAAACGTATATAAACAATGTACGTGTATTCTTTTTCTTGTAAATAGTGCCCCAGAGACTCATTACATTGCTTTACGGTGATACAAGTTTTCGAAAGAGTTTAAACATTCTTCTATCACGAGGATACAACTTTTTCGCTGAATATAGGTTGGCACAGGAAACGAACGAAAATCGAAAAAAACTCAACTTTTCGATACGTAAATTTAATAACACGATAGAAAGGATACAATAATCCTTCGATTGAATAAAAATGAAATAAAACATTTTCGAAAAAAATGTTGAATAAAAATATAACGAACATCTCTCCTCTAAAAAATTATCCACAATCCTCACTCGCAATATCTCCTTCATTCAATTTCAAAATACATTTCGCTGGGAATTTCGTCCCCTAATCATTCTCATTTCACTGGGAATAATTATCCTTGAGAACGATTAAAAGCAATAATTTGACGAAATTTACTTTAAATCTGCAACACGTGTCGCCGCGTGTTCCATTGATCCGTATCAATGGCGGTGACAAATCGCGATGCGGCCGATAATTATTACATATACGTATACTTTATATGTTTGGCCATTGATTAATGGCGTCACGATAAATTGCAGTTCACCCCATGGTTCAAGTACCGAACCAGCTAGTCGGAGCGCCGACTGGAACCAACGTTACGCTGGTCTGCCTCGTCGAAGCTTCCCCCAAGGCCATTAATTATTGGACACGCGAATCAGGTAAGATTCGATTAACCGTGTCACACTCGTCCCGTTTTATTTCATAGCATTTCGAGTATTGCTTAATTTTGTAATCAATTTCCAAATCTATACTTCGTATTATTTTTATTATTTTAATAGCGTTGTCCAATAAGTTTATACCTCTTTATATAATAATTCTGTCTTTTATACTCTGGCTTATATACTTATCCATCCTGCCTTAAAATTAAACCAATCTCATGAATAAAGTCGTGTAACTATATCGAGAGATTTCTACATAACAACTGTTAAGAAAATTTAATACCAATTCGATTCGTGGATTATCTTGGAATATTCTTTTTGTATGGTGCAAAGGTTAGAAAGAAACGAAAAATTTGTATCGTTTACGAAAGATGCAACGTCGATTGGATATTGCAAACCTTCTCGGGAATAAATAAATATTCGTTGGAAAGAAATGATCGAGAGGGAGAAGAAGAAGAAGAAAGGATATTTTATTTCTCGAGTCGAAGAACGTGAATCGATAGGTTTATTAAATCGCACGCGATTTAGAAAGTGGATTTTCGTTGGTTGGCTGGGTAAAATAATAATCCGGCGAGGCGTGTACGCTTGCGAAGATAAGTCACGTACAAAAATTTAAATGCGAAGCGAACCTCGAGCATTGTGCGGTTCGAAAATTCCCATTTTACCGGCTTCTTGGCAGATTTTTTTCTTCTTTTTTTTTCCCTCTATCTTCTTACGACGTAACCGTTTCCGTGGGACGAAGTTTGCATAATTCGATTTGCCTTTTATACAGGAATTATTTGTACAGATTTTTTTCTTTACGGAATTTTTTTCTTCCTCGATTGTTGTAGAAGTTAATCGAAATCGTGTGCAGTTTAAAGAAAATATCGAATTAAATATTTTTGTTTTCGCTCGTGAAAGAAAAAAAAGAAATGAAGATCAAAGATTTTCAGAACGTTAAAAGAAGAAATCCTTTTAGAAATCGGAGAGAAGAAAGCAAGTGGCTTGGAATATTTTTTGCCACGTAAAGAAAGATAAAGAAGCGGAGTCGTAATAAAGAAATTTACCAGTGTGAATTTTCCACGGTTTTGCGCTAAGAATCGTGTATATAACAATAAAAATGGAAGCGTTTGTTGCGAAAGCTCGCTTTACGTTACAAAACACGCATTAAGAAGCCTTGTTTTTTCTTTGTCTCCACGATCGTACGAAATAACAATATTAATTATTATTTAAAATTGGCAAAAAAAAAAAAATTCGATGCGATAACACGTTATAAAATTTTTGTTTCATAGGTGAAATGATAATTAGCAACCACAAGTACTCGATGTCAGAGGTGAAAACGTCCGTGTACAGTGTACAGATGCGGTTGGTGATCATGAATCTGCAAAAACTGGATCTCGGTGGTTACAAATGCATCTCGAAGAACTCGATCGGCGATGCCGAGGGAAACATTCGACTTTACGGTGAGTTTTCACGGATAATGCGTTTATGAGGATCGCAACTCCAGAGTTTTCCGAACTTTCTCCAACCTTTACTTATCCCGGGGAATTTTTCTACTTTGCAACTACTCGTTGTAAAAATGTGGTGTATACTCTCATGCGCGTACAGTATTCTATGTTATAGGTGTACAGTTTCATGAAAGTGTTTCATAGAAAAAAAAAAAAAAAAAAAAAAATCAGTTCACAACGAAATACTTGGGTAAATAATAAATATCGAATTTCTAAATGTGGATAATAGTAGATTTTTAAAAATCGTAAATCAAAAATTTAATTCTTTTAAACGAAGTAACAAATTATAATATTAATGAATATTTGAGCTCGTATTAATTTTTTTTTTTTTTCATGAAAAATAACGCTTTAAAAATCGTTCGTTTCACACGGGGGAAGGTATAATTAAAGAAACAATAATTCATATGTTTTTTTGAATTCATATTCTGGAAACATATACGCGGTATTTTCTCTCCCTTTTTCTTTTCTTTTTTTTTTTTTTTAATTACATCCTGCGTGAAAAATACGCGTCTCACAATATCGCGATTCCGTGTAATCCAATGTTAATTGGATCGCATACGTGTGTTGCGTTACGTTCGCTTAATTAGAGGAAGTGTGATAAAAATTAGACCGGAGTGAGGTCAGTCGATGCAGAGACCGCAGCATGGATAAGGTAAAATTGCGTTCTTCATTTTGTTTGTTAATAATTGCTATTTGTTAGAATAGAAGGGAACAGCACGAGAAAAAAAGAGGGTAATATCTTATTATTTTATCACTTTTGCGTTTAATCTTATATTGTACGATTCCCTTCGTCTATTCCACAAATAAACATACTGCGTATATAATTCAGCTTAAAAGTTCATTAAATCGTATTAAAATTAGGGAAAAATTTCAACCTCCATAATATCGAAAATAATAACTTTTGGTTAATGAATGAAAGAGCATTGGAAGCGCGAAACCTTCCCCTTTGAAATGCTTTCTCATTCATCCCGATACGACTTCCGGTTCTCGAGATATCGTCGTGTAAAGGAAACGGTAATTTTTAATCGTTTACTATTTTCGTCCTTGTCGCTTATTCGGATCTCTCGCTCGCACCTCGTCTCACTGACCCATCCCAAACTGCAGACGAGTGACAGACGCGATTCTTGGAAGAACGTAGTACGCGTATTTCCAGGAAATAAAAATATAGCGGAGCCCATTCATAATTTAAGCGGAATGAAAACTGCTCGTATCTCAGCAACCGATCGAGATATCGGAATAAATCAAAAAATGGCTTCCTCTATTTCCTCAATAGATTTCCTTATGATTTTTTAATTTTCCCTTAGGTTTTTTTTTTTTAAATTGAAAACTACGTGAATGCAATGGTTCATGATCGCGATATAAAATAATATGACGTATTATTTTTATAGTAGTTGAATATTTGAACAACTATATGAAATTTCTCAATTTACGTTCTCTTCACGTTCAAAAATATAACACACGTGTAAATACATGAACAAATGTTTATCACAACTATTAATTTGATTATCGCCCAAATTTATAAAATCAAAAAGAGGAAAAAAAAATTATTATTCGAAATAGAAAAATAATTATTATTCGCGGACAAATATACACGTCAAACTGTCAAGCCTCACAGTGCACGTGGATTATTGAAATCGTTGTTAACAATTTACATGCAAATCAAAGATAAATGCCCGCACGGAATAATTGAAATAATCGCATTATTGATATACAAGAAGATATCGGGAATAATAATGACGACAGAAATAAAATGTGACATATATATATATATATATATATATATATATATATATATATATATATATATAT